CATATAGAAAACACGAGAAACTCAGAAAAAAAAATTGCTTTCTAACAGTTTATTTTCTATAAAGCGTAATATTTCCACTTGCTCTATATTTGCTTTAGGATGATATTGAGGGGCTAAGGGAAGTTATCAATAGGAGATCAAAGGAGGTGAAAGTGACTCTGCCTCCCAACCAACTGCTTGACATAACTAAATACAATTACACTGTAATTTCGTTGCTTGATTTCTTGACAATAGAATCTAAGTGTTCTAAACAGAGCAGAGCATATTTAGCATTTTCTAGACCATATTTGATAGGGAGAAATCCAGCCCCTGCTTAAATGCCTGTCAGACAGGAGGAGATCCTTTTCTTATACTTTCGTTCATTTTGGAGGACTTATTTTGACAGGATAATGTAATATGTGTTGGGGACACATAAGTGTAAGAAGGAAGTATTTCGTTAAGAAGCTTTTCTTTGAATAAAGGAAATCGAGTAAAATGGCATTTCACTATGAAATCATAGAGAAGGATATTCAATTTAGTGTCAAGTTTTAGGAAAGTTCTGTCTAGGAGACATGAATTTTAATTATCTTGCAGGATTGTCTAGGCAAGAGGTGAAAAGAGCAGTCTAGGAAGAGGAGGAAAATATATGTAGAGAACTGGAAGCACAAAGAGTAAGGTATATTCAGGCCACATCAAGCCATTCTGAATTGCTGACATAGAGTATGTGTGTGGGTGACTGGTTGGCGATAAAACTACAAAGTAGGCAGGTGTCAGAATATATGGAGACTTGTGTGTGAAGCTGAAGTGTTTTGAAAATCTATGGTTAGGATTTTTTGGAAGGTTGGTGATGAATTTTAGAATGATTTCTCTGATAGCCTTGGGAGAATTGATTAGGGGAGGGCTAGAGTTTAGATCAGAAGATTAGAAGCAGAGAAAAAACTTAAAATGTCATTATAGCAATCAAGATCTAAAGGGTGTGTCAATGGGAATGAGGGGAAAGGGATATTTAGGGAGTAAATCAATAGGATGAGGCAACTGATTCAATGTTGAGAGAAAGAAAGTCTAGAATGACCTTATTGTTTACAGCAGGGCAACCGTTCAAGGAAACAATATTGGGAGAAGAGCAGATTTGTGTGTGTATAGAAGGGGAAGGGGTAAAAAGGTTATGAGTTCATTTTAGACATATATGAGTTTGTGCCAGATAGACTTTTAAATAAGGTCACTTCAGAGTAAGAGAAACAGAAGGCCAAAAATGGAACCTGAATAACAACATTTAAGGGACAACTGTAGTTGTTCAAAGTTATATATTTTAATTTCTAGAAAATTGATAGGTTATTTCTTCTAAAAGGAAAAATAGTAGAACAAATAATAAAGCTTTTGAAACAATAGAAATATGTTTTTTTTTCCTCCAGGATAATAATACCCTGGAGGATATAATACATAGACAGTATTGTCTAAATGTGTGGTCCTCATCCTTGTCAAAGCCAGATGAAGGCCTGAAACTTCTAGCGAAGGGAAGATTAGATGAATTGGTTTTATAGATAAAACCATAAAAGGTATTTACTTTTGTGTAATGGCCATGTTAAAAAATAGTGGACTTAAAATAAACTATAAAATAGAGCTGTTTTCTAGAAGGATATATTGGAAGCATTTATTTTATGTGCTTATGGAAAAAAAAGTAGGTTCTTTTCAAAACATAGTTATCTGACCTTCAAAAGAATCTAGTTTAGTACTGATTACTATACTATTTATTTTTCATTGCCATTCACTTAAAAGGTTTTTATTATTCTGATAAAATTGATTTAGTATATTAAAAAAAAGAACATTCTCTGAATAGAGCTATTCATCTGGAAGGGCTAGCATTCTATTAGATTTTATCATGTTCCTTGGTATATCCTTTTAACTACATTACTTTAACCAAGTTTTCCTTTAAACAATTTAAGCAAAAGATAAGAATAATTTCTGGTTTTGCAATGAGAATAACTGACCTCTTCAGAGCATCATAATATCAATGATGTTTCTTGATCAATAAACTTATGATAAAATGACCTCTGTCATTGGGAACCAGCAGTTAGTGTAATGGCTATGTTGCTGGATTCCCACGTAGTCGACCGTGGTTCGCATCCCAGACCCGGTGGCTTAAAACTCACGCCGGGCGCGTGTGCGTACGTGCCCAAGATCCCGGGAGGGGAATGGAGAAGAAGGGATTGAGACGTGACCATCCCCTCTGGGAGGTGATTTCTCGCTTTCTGTCTCTATGTCTCTCTCTGTCTGTCTGGTGAGCGCATGCGCCCTATAGCGAAAACCTCTCAAAAAAAAATAAATGACCTCTGTCATTATCAAGCAATGACATTTTAAAATATCTGTAATTTCTGTTGCCCTGTAGTTCTACAAGCAAATTAAAAAGAAAAGAGGACTGGTGTATGTGTGTGTGTGTGTGTAAGAGAGAGAGACTTTCTCACTACTGGTTTATTGGAATGTTAAAATCTAGGGATGCACAATCTTTCTGGAAGATAATTAGTTATGTACTATCAAAAGATCAAAGTATATTACCTTTTGACCTATTAATTTTACTTCTAGGAACTAACTCTAATTGAATCATGGGAAAACGGCAATTTTGTATATAAAATTATTCAAATTATTCAATTATACATTGTATAAATGTTTTAAAAATCGGAAAGATTTAACATTTGTCAAAATAATCATGGGTCTGTTCCTAGTAGAATACTATACAACCTTTTTAAAAAATGACAAGGGTTATTCTTATCGATACAGGGTGTCATAACATAATGTTAACTGGAAAAAAATAAGATTTCAAAATAATACGTAATGTAAATAGGCCGAGCTCAACATTCTATTTTGAGTTCAACAAAAACTTATCATTTACTTCCACATATGTTGAAGAGTGACAGGACTCTTTGGGAAGTCTTCATTTCTCTGTCACATGAAATTCATAAAGAAAATAAAAATAAAACAGATGATGGAAATTTTTGATACTCTGATTCACTTAAACTATTAGGTTGTCCAAAAAGTCATGACATATTATTGCATAGAAAAATAGAAAAATACTTGATGACTTTCTGGACCACCCAGTATAATTGCCTTGTTTGAAAACTGCTAATGGAGAGCAAGGATGGTCTGGATAATGGGGACCTGTCATAGAGACATATATTTTTGCCTTTTACAAAATAAGAGTAGAAATTTTACATTTCATCTTAAGATCTGAAGAATAACAAATATCCTCTCTATAGGTTATTAATTTCTGGGATCTTGCTTTAATAGTCTCAGACTTTCTCACTACTGGTTTATTGGAATGTTAAAATCTAGGGATGCACAATCTTTCTGGAAGATAATTAGTTATGTACTATCAAAAGATCAAAGTATATTACCTTTTGACCTATTAATTTTACTTCTAGGAACTAACTCTAATTGAATCATGGGAAAACGGCAATTTTGTATATAAAATTATTCAAATTATTCAATTATACATTGTATAAATGTTTTAAAAATCGGAAAGATTTAACATTTGTCAAAATAATCATGGGTCTGTTCCTAGTAGAATACTATACAACCTTTTTAAAAAATGACAAGGGTTATTCTTATCGATACAGGGTGTCATAACATAATGTTAACTGGAAAAAAATAAGATTTCAAAATAATACGTAATGTAAATAGGCCGAGCTCAACATTCTATTTTGAGTTCAACAAAAACTTATCATTTACTTCCACATATGTTGAAGAGTGACAGGACTCTTTGGGAAGTCTTCATTTCTCTGTCACATGAAATTCATAAAGAAAATAAAAATAAAACAGATGATGGAAATTTTTGATACTCTGATTCACTTAAACTATTAGGTTGTCCAAAAAGTCATGACATATTATTGCATAGAAAAATAGAAAAATACTTGATGACTTTCTGGACCACCCAGTATAATTGCCTTGTTTGAAAACTGCTAATGGAGAGCAAGGATGGTCTGGATAATGGGGACCTGTCATAGAGACATATATTTTTGCCTTTTACAAAATAAGAGTAGAAATTTTACATTTCATCTTAAGATCTGAAGAATAACAAATATCCTCTCTATAGGTTATTAATTTCTGGGATCTTGCTTTAATAGTCTCCTCCAGGCCTAGGAGATTTGAAGATTCAAAATGAGGATTTCATCCTCTTTACTTGTGGGGCCAATGAGGTCAGGGGGCAAGGAAGCGCCCAGCTGGCCTGTAAATTGACACTCACTTTCTTGGACCGTGGAAATGATTATTAATAGTAGCTGAGAGGACAATTCATTGCTTTTTAGAGAAAGCTGCATGAAGTACAGAGTGAACCCGGATTTCTCCTCATACTGAAAGGCTAGAGCTTGTCATTTGAGCTTATGTCTTATGTGAGAATGATATTACTGGGTTGTCAGAAGAGTTGTGACTTATTTTTTTCTACAATTTGTCTGACAATCCAATATTTCTGAAATACCTTAATGTGCTATTTAATTTTCTTTGTCCTTTATTTTGTTCTCTTTGGCCAGAATCATCTGTTTAACTTGGAGCCTGATTGGTTTTGTATCAGTAGGGATACTATTATAAATAAAGTTAATGTTCAGCTCTTAACATTCATAGTAACATTTTGAGTCCTCAATGTCATAATAATAAAAATCAGCTGAGTTGGGGAGAGAATAGGATTTTCTCAATTCATTTAGCTTCCACAAATATACCAAGAACTATCCCTGTGAGATACCTTTTAAAATTCTACATTAAATCAAGGGTAGAGAAAATTGAGAATATGTGTTAGGAACTTATAGCTTCATGGAGTAGGTGAGAAGCCCATCTAGTTTGGTCCTAGGGAGGCAGGAGGGCAGGATGGTATGCTGAATAGTCAGGAGTTAATATCTCTGCTTTCTTCTCAGGATGAAAGGCGAAGGCACATTGAGTGTAGTTGGCAATAGAATTGAGGTTTTTAGAAGAGAATCATAAGGATGAAAATTACAGAAAGTACAAGAATGGAAATACAGCATGAGAGAAGAAGGTACTTCAGAACTGGGGATAAATGAGCCCTGAGCAGGATCCTGGTGTGTAACCGTGAATTCAGAAGTTTCCTTGTGACCTGGTAAGGCCATGCAGGAGAGCCGGGAGTGTCTGCAGTTCAGTACTGCTCGGCATCAGCAAAACGAGGTCAACGCATTGCAGGCTCTTCAACTTTAGGTGGAGACTGCCAGAAGCACAGCTTCGAAAGGTCAGAACAGAGCAGTCACTCTGTCACTAAAACTGTCAGGGGTTCAGAAAACACAACTTACACTAAATGGCCACTTAACTCCCCAATTTATGATGGCACAGAGTGTCTTATAGCCCTGGATATCATCATATATCATTTCTGAGAGGAATGAAGGAGGAGGAGAAAACTGAAAGACTAATACTTTACCAGAAAGTGACAGAATAGAGATGATTTAAACCTGGGCAGATTGAGATAGTTTGTTTAGCAATGTAAGTTCAATTCTCCATCCTATCTCCCTACTGCATTGTATGCAAGGCTTGAGAAAAAGACCAGATAAATTAGTGAGAAATCAAAACACTGTATTTTCGTCCATCATTAAAGTTTAGTGAGTTATATGTTTGGGGTCCCTCCATTTGTGTACTACATACTGGAGGGTGTGTTTTTCAACTTTGTCTTGATTATTAGCAGTAGAAAAACAGATACTGAGATCTCTAAACTGTGGATGGAGACCATGATTTTATATTGCAAACACATCCCCCAACACCACAACTAATAGGAGCAGCAAAGGATCAAGTTAGAAACACTTTTTTAAAGAAAGATTTTTACCATACTGTGTGTGAGCTTGCCAGAGAGAGACAGAGGCAGAAAGTGAGACATCATCCCCCCCCACCCCAGGGGGGATGGAGGTGCAATTCCTTCTCTTCTGTTCTCCTCCTGTGATCTTGGGCAAGCATGTGCATGTTTCTGGTGTGAGTTTCAAGTCACCAGACCAGGACTCGAACCATAGTTGACTATGTGGAAGTCCAGCAACGTAACCATCTGTTGGTCCCTAGGTTATGTAAACACTTGACTAGATCCATTGCTGTTAGAATATAAATCAAGGCCCATGGAGAACTGAGGATACTAATTTGAAGTCATTATCAGAAGACCTGATTTTTGAGTGCCAGTAGAGCCACTGGCTTGGTCTATGATAGTGAACAAACAGCTTAATTTCTCTGAGGGTACTGGCTCTTTCATATAAGAGCTCCGAAATGACTATCAGATGGACTGCACTAAATGATATCCAAGATTTTTTTTAACCTTTTATAATTATCTGGCTAGACTTTGCTCTTTAAGAATAACTTGAAGCCCTGTAGAATTATCCCTCATATTTTTCCTTGTGAATTATCATACCATCTGAAACAATGTAGACAAGCCAGAGCAAAGTAAACAAGATGAAAAAGTACAGTGGTTAAGGGCATGGACTCAGGGATCTGGCCACCTGGATTCAAGTTGCTACTTCAGCCCTTAGAGCTATGTGACCTTCTCTAACTTTCTCAAGCCTCAAGGTCTTATTATAAATTGATGATAATAATAACACCTTCCTCTTCCTTTCTCCTCTTCTTACCCCTTAAGATGCCAACCAAATCTTTTCCTCAAGAACTCAACCCCTGTTGACTGAATACCTATTGTGTGGAAGACATTCTTCTAGATACTTAATTTTCCTACTAGAAGTCTAGGGGAGAAAAGTTTGAAGAGGTAAAATGCTGCCAAGGTCAGGCCCAAGTTTCTGAGGGCAACAGATAACCTACAATTAGAAAGAGAGAGCTTTTTCTTTTTAACCAGGCTAATTATTGTTATTACTACTATTATGTATCATTGCTTATACCAAAATGTGTAGCTCTGAGATATTCTAGAGGTAATTTTTTAAGTGCTAGAGTCTGAACATTAAATGGACATATAAGGGCAACCATTCTCCACCTTACTGTGACATACATACAATAGGAGATTCTTGAGGATAGCTTAGATCTGGGGTATATACAATTCTCTGCGGTCTTTTAGTGTGGAGATGAGGACCTCAGTTTTAGTCTTGGAAAAAAGAATTCAGCTGAGAGACAAAAATGTAGTGAAACAATCAAGCCTTTTTTTTGAGAGATTTTTGCTATAGGGCGCATGCACTCGACAGACAGAGAGACAGAGAGACAGAAAGTGAGAAATCACCCCCCAAGGAGGATGGCCACACCACAATCCCTACAATTAAGCTTTATTGCAGGGTAAAACAAAGCTTTAATGGCCAGCAGCAGGTGGTATAGTAATAAAGGTGATGGATTCCTACATGGCCATCATGGTTCAAGTCCTGAACTGGAAGGGTGCATGTGTGTGCATGCCTAAATTCCTGAGAAAAGAATGGAGAATGGATTGTGGCATGCCCATCCTCTCTGGGAGGTAATGTCTCACTTTCTCTCTCTCTCTGTCTCTTTTTCTGGTGAGTGCATGCACTCTATAGAAAAAATTTTAAAAAATATATATTTTATACTATCCATAAAGTGAACCTCAGGGCTGGCAGGTGGAGTGGTGGTTAAAGGCACTGGACTCCCACAAGGCCGACTGCGGTTCAAGTCCCAGACCTGGTAGCTTGCTTTCTCACTTTCTCTCTCCCTCCCTCCCTCTGTTTCTCTCTCTCTCTCTCTGTCTCTGTACCTTTCTGGTCAAATTAAAATAAGTAAGTAAATTAATAAACAAACAAGTAAATACAATTAAATAAAAAATATTTTTTTTAAAAAAAGCGAATCTCGGGAACCAGCAGTTAGCATAATGGCTATGTCGCTGGACTCCCATGTAGTCGACCACGGTTCGCGTCCCGGACCCAGTGGCTTAAAACTCAAGCCGGGCACGTGTGCATGCGTGCCCAAGATCCTGAGAGAAGAATGGAGGAGAAGGGATTGCGGCGTGACCATCCCCTCTGGGGGGTGATTTCTCGCTTTCTGTCTCTCTGTCTCTCTCTGTCTGGTGAGCGCACACACCCTATAGCAAAAATCTCTCCAAAAAAAAAAAGAAGAAAAAAAAGCGAATCTCACAGAGATCGAAATCTTTGCTAATTAGAATATAATTAATAAACATAAGAACCAGGTATTGCACCTAGATTCTCTAGTTTCAGATTTTACTACAAGGGTCCACTTACAGGTCTGAAATTTTCAAAACTCCTAACATAATAGTTCTTAAGTTCAGCCATGCAATTTTCCAGTAATAATGTCTTTCACAAGTAATTTGTTAACAATTGACCTTTTAAATAAAGTGTGTAAAAGTCACTGTTATTTCCATTATTATAGTAGTCTTAATTTCATACATCGCTATATTTTCTTTATTGAAAGAAGAAAAGATGTATATGCAGTTATGTTAGGGTCAGCAGATAGACATGACCTGGTGGATCCAGGACTCAAACCATGGAATAGGCCATGTGGGATCCAGCCATCTTAACCTCCATGCCACCTACTGGCCTAGAATACAAGTATTTTTATCCTTACAGAATTATTGTGAGATTCAAATAGGGTCATGGATAATAAGACCCATTGTACAAATATTGGGTTGTCGGAAAAGTCATGATGCATTTTTGCATGGAAAAACATGTCACGACTTTTCTGACAATCCAGTAGTATTTATGGTTCTCATCGTTTGCAGGTCCATTTAAATTCTTACAGCCTTTATTTTGGATCTTTTAAGGCTGTTATTGCCTACTTACCATTTTATGCTACTTTAAATATAACACTTCTTTTTAAAAATGTTTTAATAATCTATTAGAAAACATGTGGATAATAGACATCATGGAGAAATTTCATTGTCAAACATCTTTTATAGTCCACAGCTTTACTCTTTTTCCAAATAATATTATTGTTCCTTTTGACAATGAATACAGAACAATGAAAATCTTCCTCAAAGCAACGAGATGTATGTATGTACAATATACAGGACTGCAGCTGTTTTTTTAGAGTTTGTTTTTATGATGCCATCTATCAAAGGCTATGTTTTGGATACTACAAATTCAGAATAGAATTTTTTTCATGAAGTTAAATAAATAGAATTATATATGAATCCTTCGCAGGTTGGAATAAATTGTTCTTCAGTCTCTGAGCTCTGAACATTGGAGAGTTTGGAGAGTTTTGGAGACAGTCTAAGTCTAGGATGTCCTGAAAAATGACAACTGCAGTTACTTGTATTGTGTGTGTGTGTGTGTGTGTGTTTAAGGCAGTGTTACTTTTTTACTTGTCACAATCTTCTTGCCTCAACCCTCCAGTTACTGGAAATACAGGCTTTGCCACCCAGCTGGTCCTCGGGTTAGAAAGGGTATGATGGAATTTGGGCATCCCATACAGTCCAAGCGTCTTAGCAGCTTATACCACTAAGCTGGGCCATTTATATTAAGTTCTATATTTACACATAGCCAGTGTCTACGATCTGTTCTTCATAAGATGTTCCTCAGTGTGTCTTATACTCACATCTATTTAGAAGAAATTGCTTTAAAAATTTTACAGACCTGTACCTCAGATGACCAAATTAGACTCTTTGACAGTGGCACATAGCAAATTGTAAAACTATATTCTTAACAGACACTTTGTTGATTTTTATGGATACTAGGGTTTGTAAAAGATTTACCTTTTATCAAGATACTTGCCAATTAGCTTTAGTCAATAGTCCATCAGGAAGGAAGCATTAAAACGTAGGTCAGAAGAGGATAAAAATTTTAATTAGGTTTTAATAATGCTTAATCCTCTAATTCCAGTGGGAAAAAGATAGATAAAAAATTTGGGTCAAGGGCTAAAACTTAACATTTTGTTTCTATTAATGATCAGCAGATTACTGATTGCATTCTTACTTTTTTGTTTCAAATTGTTCTGTGATTCTAACTTATGTACAGCCAAATACATTTTGACTACATGGTGGCTATTTTATCATTACTATAATTTTAAGTGATCACCCTAATGATTCTTTTATTGTACTTGTTTTACAGTGATTAGCTGACTTCATTTCTCTCTTGGAAAGAAGTAACACTACTTTCATTAGAAATGTGGTTTTAAAAAGTGGATAATCTTATAAGTCTTTCTTGAGAAATATTTAAAGGACAGGGCACAGAGATGGCTTTCTTAGGAAGTGAATAGATATGGTCCCTACCTTCTGGGAATTTAATAAAATTACATAATCTAGTCTTCATTAAATATCATTCAATTTCTTGACATTTGATGGCCATCAGTTCCTCCCATCTTGCATGATACTATTTGCCAATCAAAAGATCACTGAGAGCATTTATGAGGCAATTTATATTCTGATAAATGAATTTGATATGTCAAATTTCTGTATGTCTTACTTCTGTTGAATAAAGACCAGAGCAGGACATTTTCCTATAGAGAGAATGAACTGTACATTGCTTCCTAATCAGTAATAAAGATTGTGCTTCAGCCTCTGTAATATAAATCTGAAGTAACATGAAACATTTTATTATTAATAGTAAAAAACTGAATTAATTACCTTTGAAAAATTATTGTGGCTATTTCATCAGCTTAATGTAATGACATTATTAATACATACCTTTGGTATTGATGGTGTTTGAATTCACATTAAGGTTCTTCTTAGAGCCAAGAATTAATACTTCTTCGCACAACAAAGAACATATCACACTTAGGGTTTGGTAATGAAAAAGCATGTCCTTACTTTAAGCAGTTCTTTTGCAAATATCTAACTACCTATATTTTATACCTTTTGGTAGAAGTCCTTTTGTTTATGTAGTGGTATCACTCACTGTGCATGCAACTTTGAATGAAATATCCCAACTAGTTTGTTCAAATACTGCTTTTATTACGTAGAACCTCTTCCCCAGGATCCTATTCCATGCATTTGGACAGGCTTCCTTGGTCTTTTTTTTTTTTTTTTTTTTTGGAGAAGTTTTTGCTATGGGGCACGTGCACTCGCCAAAAAGACAGAGGGAAAGAAACTTATATGATATTCAGAGCAGGAGGTAGTACTGGGATGAATGAATCAAACAAGGTAAGCATCAATAAAATATTCTGGGAGTTTAGGAAAAAGAGAGAGCAAGAGTTCCTAGAGTTTCTTTACTAGAATCTTTCCAATTTGAGAACCTGATATCTTTGAGCCTGGAATTAATGTGTTTTTTCTTTTGTTGTTGTTGTTGTTTTCTTTTTTCTTTTTCTTTTCAGGATTAAAACAAACCATTTCCTCCCCCATCTAATTAAGGCTATCACCAACAGTCTAATGAATATAAAGTATTATCAACAGATTAATGAGAGTCAATGACTAAACATGAGAGGACTTCCAAATTCATGGGAAAAATATGAGGTAAGCATAGTGGAAAAAAAGGTAAAATCTATGCATAATTTTTTTTTACAAAAACCATTTCCATGAACTTTTTTGAGGACTCCTCATACAACTGTCTCTTTTTCTAGATCTTTATCTACGTCTCTATGTTGGTCATTAGCCATATAAACTAAAATAAAATAATGTATAGAGTCAGTAATTTAGGCTAAGTTCTGATTTATTAGTCATTTAGCTACTTAGATAAATTTTCAAGTAAAAACTGATTTTAGTAGGATTGTTTGTTCTAATATGTCTAGTCAATATTGCTTCTCAGTATCTTAGTGCTCAATGTGGATAGACAGAATCCCAAAATGGGACTAGGACAGGACAGTTCCTATTCAGTTAAGGACTCTTTCATATTGATAAACTTTAAATGTCTTATTTACTAGTAGAATCCTCAGTTATATTTTCAATTCTATTCAAATACAGATGTTACCCAAGTACTTTCCTCTTCTAACTTTGAGGAATTTCAGGTAAATTATAAATGGAATGTTTCCAAATCACTCCTCTTCAGATCGTGCCTATCACCGCCTCTAAAGCACTTGATACTTCTTCAGAATGGCTTCATTTTACTGTTATCATTCCCAGATACCCTGTTCCATAACTTTTGTGTAATACTCTGAACAGTGGTGGTAGATTGGATGTGACTGTTTTACTACATGTGTGGATGTATATTTATAATTTTTACTGGTTCTGTCCATCCCTTCCCCAGCTGCTAACCAGATTGTAAAGACCCTTGAAGGCAGAAATCTAGTTTTCTACTTCCATTTCTAACTCCACAGAGTGCCCTGAACATGGTGGGAATTCAATCAAAGGCAAATGTTAGCCAGTTATTAAAGCCTTGCCTTTGGTATAGTGTACAAGCTGGGAAGTGTATAATTTATTGCTAATGTCAGCTCAGTAAACAGTTTGTTACTAGTGATGTTGAAGGGGAGCACAACTTATTTATAGTTTTATAAGAGATGAAAATACTGAGGGTGATTTTGGCAGTGAGCTGGCAAAAATTATGAATTAGCTTCACCAGATCTAAGGTGTACCAAACAGATAACTCATTGGATAAAGTAAATAGTTGCTAACTATCTGGTTACTGGTTGTTTTTACTGAATTCACAGAAAGTTTGCTCAGTTTTGCTAATGTGGCCCATTTTCAGGTATTTGAATATATTGTATTGCACATCATAGGCAACATTATAATATTGGGTGGTCCTCTTCACTATATGAAAAAGCAACAGAAATGGGCATATAGTAGCTTTACTTAGCATCTTTCTTTTATAGACCTCTATTAATATTTACTGCTCTTAAATTGCAGCTACAGGTAGTGGTTTATAATATTTAGGTTTATCCGTTAGATTAGGGATTATTAAATAGGGGTTATATATCCATGGGTGGGTTTCAGGGAATCTGCAAGCACTTTGGAATTGTGTTAACAAAGTTGACTCTGGGAAGATAGTTTACTGCTCTTAGTAGACACAGAAACAATCAACCTAAAAGGATTAATGGAATGTATTGATACAGAGGTCGCCATAACAACGAGTGGATTAAATATTTTAAATATATGTTTCTAAAATTCTGTAAACTAAGAAAATAAGTAAGCACTTTGTTCATCGATCTAACAAAACCGTGTAAATTCTGTAACACTGCTTGACTTTGGTGAAAATTCACGAACAACTGGCACTTCCAAGTTTTAAAATGGGTACCAGTTGGAAATACTGATGCTTGATGCTATAAGCCAAATGGTTCCTTTTCTACGCCCCGCCTCCTTCAGCAACAAAATGAACTCTCTGGTAGCAAGAAACTTCCAAAAGCTACAGGGCCCAAGTCAAAAGTGGCAGATTAAGGTTTAACTGCACAGGCACCATCAACACCAGTGGTAGTCAGGCAGCTAATCTGCTTGCACACTACATTGAAAATATACCCTGGAGAGAAAATATGTTTTTGTACTGGAAAGGTTTTTTCAGAGTTTCTCTGTCTATGGAAAGCTATAATTTAATCTTAGATTCCTTCAAGGAAGGTCTGTACCCCTGAGGCTCAGTTCCATATGTCTCTAGTGTCTGATGACTGAGAACACTTGGTTCTTGGAAACTCTCCAGAGGTTGTACAATAAATACGAGCTTCGTTGTTTATGTTTTGCTGAATGCCATAAAAGCTTTTCTTCTGATGTTTACAGAAGATCCTTTGCAATCGGGAATATTGAAAGGTGAGCTGTTTCACCTCTTGCCTCCTAACTCCAATGGAAAGAGAATTTATATTTATTGTAAATGGAATATTGAGGGAAAAAGTATCCCCTGCAGAAGTCTGTGTCTATAAATAAGGTGTCCAGGATTCTATGATGTATACACAACACAAGGGACTTATAAAGAGAAGCTCAAGTCAGGCTGGATGAAGGAAAATTGAATTCCCCCATTTACATATTTGCGTTTATCTGGAATTTTCTGAGGTGCATCCAAATGTGTCTTTTACTTTTGCTTAAAAATTTTTTTTTTGTCTACTTGATGCATTTGTCTTTAAACTAGTGAATATATGAGATTTTTATTTGTATGTTTGTTTGGGGAACTCCCCCTTGAATCTAGTGAATTTTTTGAGACTGTTGACATAATTTTCTTTTCTTTTTTGCAACCCACTTTTGGTTTCTTCAGTGGTATGCTTTAGAATGTGTGAATTTAATTTCATTTTATATAATTAAAGATTACTCTCTTTTAAAAATATTTTTGTTAGCATGTAACTGTAGATATTTGTAGCAGTACAGTAGGAGTTTTTAGTATAGGAATACAATGTGTAATGATTAATACAGGGTGATAAGTGTATCATTTGCATTATTTGTGTTGGGAACATTAAAAATCCTTACTAGAGGTTTGAAATACACAGAAAATTATTGCCATATATATTCTCCCCACTAAACTCTTTAACACTACAAATCTTTCCTTCTAGCTATCTGAAATTTTGTTTTCATTAGCCAATATGTCTCTATCTACTTCCTGTCCTTCCAAATGTCTAGCATTCATTATTCGTTTCTCTACCTCTATAATGTCTTTTTTCCACCACTGAATTTCTTTAAGATGCAGGATACAAAATCAACACATAAAAATCCATAACACTCTTTTTAGTTATTTAAAATTGATTTTAAAAATTATATACAGGTATATTATACATAAATATATTTCATAAATTTGAAGTCATTTTAGGATGTTTAAATGCAAGGTGAAGTGAGTCAGGTAATTGACATACATCACCTCATATATTTAACATTCTCTGTGATGAGATCATTAGAAATGTATTTCCTCAGCAATGCTTACACTGGTCTTCACAAAGTCTACTGTAATTAGAGTTTCTTAAAAATCTTCTTGTTCCGCTTTATGTCCGGATGCTGTGGTGCAAACATTGCTTATTTTCTTTATGCTCTGGAACCTCTAAATAGCACTTGACTTGCTCCTGTTTTAACCATTTGAGAGAATTAGCCTCCAAAATGTATTTATGATGACTTTTCTAGTTTTTAAAAAAATTATTTATTTAATTTTTTTACATTCATTCACTGAGCATCATCACGGCTTACAAAATTGATTTCTCATGCAGAATACACTGTATACTGGCTTAATCATGTTACATAGACAAATAACTTTCCATTTCTTGTTTCATATATATATATATATGCCTTTCCCCCATTTCTCACCCTCTGCCATTCCCCACCCTCCCACACTGTCTCTGGTATCTGCATTTGCTTTCCATTCCTTCTCCCCACACATATTTTATTAATTCACAAAGTATCTAAATTGATCCAGCTACTTTCGATTGCAAGTTTAGCTGGTATACATATACCTGTGAACACATATCTGACTTTAGGTGTGAAATTCTGAGTAGAATGAATATACTATGAAGTAGCACCTAGCTGGTACTATATAGTTTACTGCAGTCATTAAATCGGTATTTTTTTAATAGATTTTTTTCATTTCAAGAAAAGGAGTTTTAGCTTCAATAAATTCAAATTAAAAAAAGCTAATAATAGAGCTTAGTTTAAACCTTAAAGCCAGGAAACAGGTTAGGATTCTGTTCAAATAGTAGGTATATGAACCTATTGACAGCTCAAGACAAGACAAAAATCCTTAAATTTGGAAAACAAAGCATAGAAGAAAATCAGCAATGTTTTAGACAAAAGTCATAAGATTTTATTTCCCCAGTTCAGTCTCATATACTTAATCTATCTTCTGTTGTGGTGCAATCTTCCTGTTTAAATTCTGGAAGATAGCATTAATCTCCAGAATTGTCCCTACCATGAAGTTGGCCATTTTCTTAGCTATTTTTGAACTCTTATTTCTGTGTGTCTTTACTTAGTTTTCCTGGTATAGTACTCTCTTCAGAACTTCTTGGAGAACTGGTCTGGTATTGGTAAATTCTTTCAGGTTTTGTTTATCTGAGAATATTCTTGTCTTCTCTTCCCATATGAAGGATATTCTTGCCAGGTACAGTATTTTGGGTTGAACTTGTTTTTCCCTTAACACTTTGAGTATATCTCCCATTCTTTCCTTACATTGTTTCGGATGAAAGGTCTGCTACTAGCCTGATGGGATATCCTTTGTAGGTAACTTGACATTTCTCTCTTGCTAATCTTAGTATCTTGTCTTTGTCTGTGGTTTTGGTCAATCTGGTTATAATGTGTCTTGGAGAAGATCTTGGGATTCTATTGGGGGTCTTTTGTATTTATTGAGACTCGATCTTTGAATGCTGCTCTAGGTTTGGAAAGTTTTCTTCCAGGATTTCATGAAATAGATTATCAATACCCTTATTAGTCTCTTCACCTTCTGGGATACCAATTATCTGGATGTTTGGATATTTCATGGTATCTAGTATTTCTCATGTATTATTCTCATATCTTTGTGCTATTTTCTCAGTCTTTGTGGTGGATTTTTCTAGTCTAGTGATTCTTTCTTCTACATCTGAGATTCAGTCTTTCGTATGATCCAGTCTGCTTTTAATACTTTCAAGGGAGGT